AATATTGCTCATAAGAATCTGTTGAGTTCTTACTCGCCTATTCAAGCTAGCCTAACGCCTACATGTCTATGAAATTAGAACTAACAAGAACGCATTTATAATTCCTGTAAATCAACCAAGTAAGGCAATTAGGTATATGTCTATCCTAACCGCGAATCCGTTCCCCGATGCCCAGGTTCAAGAACTTGCTCTACTCAATCCTATATGCAATCTAGAATTCCCACTTTCGAGTTCAACTCTAGCTTCGTAGATAATATTCAATTGGTGATCAAACAATCAAATAATTAAGTGCAGGATTGAATAAATAAACCGATATGATAAACTAAGAAATCAAAATCAATATCCGAATAACAATAGTCATGAAAGAACCACAACCCTATAACGTAAAGTTTAGCTCCACATAGACATGGTAGCAAAACATAAAAATTACTAAGTTTGGAGGAAAAAAGATGGAACTTGATGAATTCCGGCCTCCACGGCGGCTCTGTGCTTGTGTTTTACTCTCAAAAAACGTCCTCCCCCCTCTAAAAATATGTTTAGTCTTGCTTTTATACACGTTGGGTAGGTCTAGGGCCGAAATAACCTTGTCCCGGGCGAAATTGGAGAAAATTCACATCATTGGCGCCCTGGCTAGTGCCAGGCGCCCCCCACGACGCTCCAATATTTTAGCTTCTGTTTTTGGCGCCACAGGTAGGGCTTGGCGCCACCTGTGGCGCTGAAATATGCCCTTTCCCTGTTTTCGTCCGTTTTGGCTCTAATTTCGCATATATCGCCCCCGATTACTCCCGAATCATTCCTACACATAAAAATACATCAAATTAACATAAATCAATACATTTCACATCCTAAATCCATGAAACAAAAGTAAAATATAAGGCGATATACATACAAATATATATGCTTTAAGCTAAACATCAACACCCCACACTTAAACTCTTGCTCGTCCTCGAGCAATGGGACTATCAAATAAACCCTCAACTACGTACAAGTCTCAATTATAGAGGAGCACCTTAACTTTTAACCGCACACTATACCCTTGACTATTATCAATACCGGCACACAAGCATGAACACACAAAATTTCACATTCTTCCTGTTTAAACACACCCAAGTATAACATTTCAATTCAATCAATTCCAACAACCTATTTGTCACCACCCAACCTCAAAAGCCGACTTGTAACCACTAAGCACCCTCAATTCATATACTCACCCAACAAGAAAGTTTACAACATTACCAATCATTCATGAGATCATGTGCCCTTACCAACAAACAAAGAGTGAAGATAGATTAGTCCACACACAAATATACTTTTGAATATAGATTAAGGACATCACACAATTGAACAAAATTTGCTCACTCTCACAAAGAATTCATATGCATCCCGTGGTCGTACCATAAGCTTGCCCGTAGTGTATATCTCTGCTAATTTAAGCTAGCCAAATCTAGGATCAATTAGGACTTTAAGGTTATAATATAAGCTAAGGGACGGGTATAATACATTTAGAAATAGTGGCTAACCCTCCTAAGCACTTTAATGCACTACATTCATGATTCAAGCACATATTCTTCTCAACCAATTTACTTGCCATATACAACATAGCTCTCTTTCAATAAAGCACTTATATTTCCACTAGCACAAATCATTAAGAATTGGAGGTGTGTATTTTCTCCATTATTTGAACTATCATATTTTTTTCTCTTTTCTTGCAATTTTTCTTTTCCTTTCTCTCTTTTTTTTCTTTTCTTCACACACTCCATACATTAAAATTCATCGGCTAGTGACTTATAATTTCAACCTTAGTGCACCAACGGGCCCTTCCATGGTTCCACTCGAAAACTACTCCCCAATATCTCACCTTACTTCTTTTAGCGACTAAGTGCCTTAGGAGGTAAAGGTTCAATCAATTTCAAATTAAGAACAAAATAGGGGTATGGCTTGTAATGTGGGTAACAAAAGAAAGGTCTATAGGCTCAAAGGGGCTAGCAGCGGAAAATTTTATTTTTATGTGACAAGCACATCCATGATCAAGCACGAAAATGCCTACGTCATTTCCTAGATTAGCACAACTTATAATTTTGCTTCAATTAACACACGGGGCAAGTTCTAGACTACACAGGATAGCACAGAAAATCACAAATCCTCATACACACATTGCACATGACTCAATCAAAACAGTTCTGTTCAACTCTCAAGTCTAGCAAGCACACATAATAGAGAAATTTAAGCAATATTGCACCATGTGGCATACGAGTCAAACAAATGAGAAAATGCGTCACAAAATAGGCTATTTACTTTACTTAGGCTTCACAATTCAAACCAAATACATGGGAAAATAGAATGTATGTCATAGCCTAATGTGCCAGCATCAACCATGTCAATGAGTATCTCAGAGTGACTCAGTTTCTTCCTAAACTACTCCTAAAAATAAATAAATAAACTACCCGGTTCGAGCTACATCCTTGGAAAAGAACCGGCGCCCGAAGAAAAACCAAAGAATACTACTTAACTATCCTAAAAAAAACTTTTTGGTGTTTTCAATCAGACTTTATCCCTCAAGAAAATTGTCTAAAAGATTCATCGTTGGGAAAAGTCCGAACTTTTTCTAATTTTTTTTTTCAATTTTTATTTTTATTTACCTAGACTATGTCTACTACGAGTTCTAAAAGAAAAATTAAATTAAAAAAATAGTTTTATACAATTACACTTCAGAAAGTAGTTTCCCCACCCCACACTTATATTATGCATAGTCCTCGATGCATGATCATAGAGAAAAATATTAAAACAAGGGTGAGAAATACTCCCTGAGGCCCCTTCGGGCCTAGCTCGAACATGATCCTCAATATTAAGGGGCGGGGCGCCCCACACTTAAGCTCAAACATGCTCCTCAGCTTCAACTTCGGGTACTCAGACTTTTCCTACTCTGCAAAACAAAAACAACACGAAACTTGACACTATATAAAAAATAAAAAATTAAAATACAAGCTGGGTTGCCTCCCAACAAATGCCTTATTTATAGTCGTGGCACGACTTCATCACTTTCACCACTTTTCCTTCCACTTTGAGGATATGAATTGCGCCCCCAATTTTGCATCAATTTTTCTGTCACGTTCCTGGGGTTGTGGTGTGAAAATAAAGGAACCAAGCAATAGATATCACATCTTGCACTTCTTGGCCCTTAAGTGAGGAATGTCATTTTGCCTCCTTGGTATGACAAATTTCAGAATATAAACACTTTGTTCCTCATCCATTGACTCCTCTATATGCTCAACTGAATCAATTCCCATGTCACCAACCAAACACAATATTGAAAAGTGTTTAGAATGAGGTCTAGTACTCTCCAACTCCAAAATTGCATTATTTTTGACATCCTCAATTTTGCACTCTTCGTCAACCTAGACATCATTAATATTATTTTGGTTGAATTGTTGAAATTCCTCTTTCCGCTCCATAAGTTGGCCAGTATCTACGACAATTGATTGTAGGGCATCAGACACCTCAACCTTTTTATTCAATTGAGCCTGCAGGTCATGGATATCTAAGCCAAATTGGTCTATCTCTTGCTTGAGCTCAGTTCTTCCTTCTATGAGTTGTTCTGTCATATTTGAAAGATCATCACAGAGAAACTCTTAAGATTTTATCAGTTGAGCTTGTTCCTCTAGCCAACATTGGCTCATTATATCTGCTTCTTTTAAATTATCTTCTGGTGGGAACTCGCTCTCTTCAGCCACTTCCTCCGCCTCGGCCTTCATTCTCATGATTGTTGCACTAATTTTTTGTATAGCCTTTCGATTTTCATCTTGTTGCTCGGCTATTTGCCTCAGAATATCCCTAATATATGCATCACGTTCGATATCCTGCACTTCATTGCCCCTGTCAAACTCACAAACACTGTTAGAAAGATCATAAAAAGGGCTCAGAAAAGGATGAGAAGAATTAGGACAACCATCCCAATGGCCACCTTGACCACCACACATATTACAAATATTTCACCCATAAGATTGAGATTCACAATTTTACCAGAAGTGTGGTTCTCCACAATATGGACATGGATCACTAAAATAAGAATAACCAATATTCGACCAATTATCATTCGAAGATGTCATATCAACAAAGATAGTAAATATTAAACTAAGATAAAAATAAGAAGAAAAAAAACTTGAGTATAAGAAAAGTAAAAATCTAATCTAGTAGACTAGTTAATTTCTAAGTCTCCGACAACGACACTAAAAACTTGTTGCGGCCAAACGCACACGCAAGTATACGCGGTCGTCAAGTAATAAAGTGACTAAAAGTCGGATGTCGATCCCACGAGGACTTGTGATTAACTATTAACTAAATTAGACTATCCTAATTATCTAAACAAGAATTAAACCTAGAAGTATTTAATTCTAAACTAATTAAGTAAAAAAATATAAACAATGAACTTTGAATAGAGAAAGAGCAAATTTTTATGATATCAATGTAATGAAGACGATCTAGGGTTATGGGCTATCTAACATTCCTATTGTATTCTTCAATTGAATTGACTAATTAATTTATCTGGTTTATTGGTTGACATGGTTAATATTGCTCATAAGAATCTATCGAGTTCTTACTCGCCTATTCAAGCTAGCCTAACGCCTATATGTCTATGAAATTAGAACTAACAAGAACACGTTTATAATTCCTGTAAATCAACCAAGTAAGGCAATTAGGTATATGTCTATCCTAACCGCGAATCCGTTCCCCGATGCCAGGTTCAAGAACTTGCTCTACTTAATCCTATATGCAATCTAGAATTCCCACTTTCGAGTTCAACTCTAGATTCGTAGAAAATATTCAATTGGTGATCAAACAATCATATAATTAAGTGCAGGATTGAATAAATAAACCAATATGATTAACTAAGAAATCAAAATCAATATCCGAATAATAATAGTCATGAAAGAACCACAACCCTAGAACGTGAAGTTTAGCTCCACATAGACATGGTAGCAAAACAACAAATCATACAAAGAAACATAAAAATTACTAAGTTTGGAGGAAGAAAGATGGAACTTGATGAATTTCGGCCTCCACGGCGGCTTTGTGCTTGTGTTTTACTCTCAAAAAACGTCCTCCCCCTCTAAAAATATATTTAGTCTTGCTTTTATACATGTTGGGTATGTCTAGGGCCGAAATAACCTTGTCCCAAGCAAAATTGGAGAAAATTCACGTCATTGGCGCCCTGGCTAGCGCCAGGCGCCCTCCACGACGCTCCAATGTTTTAGCTTCTGTTTTTGGCGCCATATGTAGGGTTGGACGCAACCTGTGGCGCTGAAATATGTCATTTCCCTGTTTTCGTCCGTTTTGGCTCTAATTTCGCACATATCGCCCCCGATTCTCCCGGATTATTCCTACACATAAAAACACATCAAATTAACATAAATCAATACATTTCACATCCTAAATCCATGAAACAAAAGTAAAATATGAGGTGATATACATACAAATATATATACTTTAAGTTAAACATCAATTGGTTTTCTGTAATCGCTTTCGCAATGCAGGATCAGGACCATACGGTGAAGTTGATTAAAGAGAAATTATATTATTTACTTCAACACTTAGATTTGATTAAGAAATAAATTTTCTACATACGTTTTGAAGTTAGTTGCACAAAATAAATTATTAGTGGAATGGTGTCAATTTAGGATCTCCCATAATTTCGCGCCATACAAATTAAGACGGAGCAAGAGTATTACTAATTATTACTAAGAACTACTCCCTCCGTTTCAATTTAGGCGAGGTCATTTGACTCGACACCAAATTTAAGGGAAAAAAGAACTTTTAAAACTTGTAGTTTTAAAATCTTAAAGGGATAAAGACTTTGTGGGGCCATAACATTTGTGTGGTTATGAAAGCTTATCATTAAGGATAAAATGTGTAAATGAAAAGTTTGAAGTTGAACTATTTCCAATTATAAAAATGTATTTTTTTTGGAACAGACTAATAAGTTAAGTGTGTCATCTAAATTGAAAAAGAAAGAGTAGTTATTACGGAAAGAGGAAATATACGAAAGAAAAAAAAAAGGAAAATTCATTTCATGCATGATAATATTGAAGTGAACAATTTCACGCGAGACTGTCGCATTCAATTAAATCATACAAAGTAGAACCACAGATTTTTTTCTAAGATTACTTCCATCCCCGTCTCAGAATCCTACATCACCTGATAAAACCATTAAAAAACACATGCATTAGTCAATACGCAAGGAAATTTGCAAAATTTCTTACTCTTAATTTAATTAGCAAAAAGTTCCATCCTGCTGAAAATGTTATTGGTACAATCTCTCTGCAATTCAAATTATATAATTTCTTCAATGAGTTAGGCATCGAAAGGGTAAAATAATTGAATTAGGCATATATATATATATATATATATATGTTAAAAGACAGTAATAATAATATGAAAAGAATTAATTAAGAAGAAAGAGGAGTAATTACTTGAGCACTCCTGCATGGATTGGTGACATCACAGTAACTCTCAAGTGTGATGAGAGCTTGATTGTCTAAATTCTTGGCGTAATTATAGCAGTCGCAGTTACGGCCAAGCATAATACTGAATGTTGGGCAACATTGGTCTATGGAAGCAGTGTTCAACATGCAATTCTTTATCTTTTCTTTATCCTTTGCACAACAAGTTGCCACACCTTGGTTTCTACTATTCCTGTTGTCTATGGCCTTGCTAGTTTTGACCACCTCTTGCTGGTTTATTTCCTCCTGCTAGATTTTCGCATTAGATGATTTTGTGAGGTTAAAACTATATTTTATATACTTTGTCGGTAGCTAGTATTGAGTAAAGAATATCATAGAAAGACTTATAAGTGACCCGATTAAAGAATATCATATCATTGTATATATACGAACTAACTTAAACCTATTTTATCATAAAAGAGTGATTAATAGAGAAGACAAAGAAGGGCAGAACACTAACTTGCTTATGTTGACAAGGATTCTTGAAGCCACAATATTTCTGAAGAGCAGTAAAAGCTTCTTTATTGACATGCTCGGCCAGATGCCAGCAGATGCAATTTCGTGTAGGGTTAGTAGTGAAGGGGAATAAAGTGCAGCATTCAGTTATGCAGCTGGTCGTTGCGTACTTGGCGCAATTGAACAACTTCAAGCAACCAAATTTATCCTCTGCTACAGATAGTGTCCACGGCGACGTGGTGCTATTGGCGCCCTCTGCTAATTCCACTTGCTGCTTTACATGTCCATAGCAAGTTTTTAGTGCCGAGGAAATTAAAGAAATTTGATGGGAGTTCGTATTCCAACAAATTCAAAATTTTGGTGGACAAAGTTACTCAATAGCAATGGCAGTGGTGGAAGGTAAAAGGTAGTTGACCGACGGAACATTACGATTCCCACCTCAATGTATCTCATACCCAATATTAATAGCCTATTTGGCTAACCTTTTAAAATCACTAATTCTAAAAAGTATTTTTTTTTTTAAAAGTATTTTTTTCGAAAGTACTTTTAATAAGAGTTAGTTTATATTTAACTAATTAATTTAAAAAGTATTTTTGAACAGCAATTAATATTTAACCAAACTATTAAAAAGTATTTCTAAGTGTATTTTTCTCAAAACTGTTTTTCAAAAAAACAATTTTAGGAAAAATCTAATTTTTTAAGCTTCTCCAAAATTGCTTCAATTTCTCCTCAAAATAATTTTTTTTTTCTTCAAAAAACTTGACAAACACTCAACTTTAGAAAAAAAATGTTTCTAGATTTGAAAAAGCTTGGTATGATGAAAATACTATTGCAAATAGGAGTAAGCATTTCCGTCAACAAATTTACATCGGACCAGAACTTTTGAAAATTTTATATTCCAATTATAATTTTCTTTTAACAATTAATAAACGTATGTTTCCCAACTACTGGAATATTAAAAAGATAAATCGATCTTTGCTTTATGGCGAGGGGGAAATGTAGTGAGTGCGCTGACTCAAGAGAAGAAAAATAATCAATCTTCTTCAGTAGTAAGGGAACGAACAACTTGGCGGTGAAGCTCATAACAGGAAACAATGAAATTTTACAACAAAATTAGGAGTAACTAATTATATCATGAGTTTACCTCTTCTGCCGTCGCCGGCCGATGACTGCAAAGTACGATTGCGGCTACCGTAAAGGTGAGCATCATCAACCCTCTCCTCATTTTCATCTTTCCTCTCTCTAAGCTTGTGTTAAAATGACTAGCTAGCTAGTAGTACACCCACAATTATATAAACTTTTTAAGTGATACTTTTAATTTAATTTACATATTATACAATTTCTATAAGCATACGCAGAAATCGTGTTGAGGGAAAAAAAAATTTATTAATTGAAAAATTCAATGACAGGAAATGGCGCGTTTCCCTATTACAGATCTGGATATATCTAAGCCAAGGAATTGCAGATAAGAGATTCCTGCTGAGAAATTTTATATTATGTCTACTTGCTTTTTATACAAAAGCAGAGAAAGGCAATTCAAAATGCTACTAGCATTGTCCTAATCGAGATACTTAACTCGGTAAAATTTCATTTTATGTCTCATGCAACTGAAACTAGTTGTATGAGATAATTTTTTTGTCTCACAGTTTTGTGGACCCAGATTTCTGTAGACCCAGAATTGTAAGATTGGAGTCCACAAATTTGTGAGACAAAAAGGAGCCTCATATAACTAGTGTGAATTGTATGAGACACAAAATAAAACTTCTCCTTAACTACTAAAGGATAAAAAAGCACAGATAAACGATTGTTCATGTACGATTATACATATTTATAATGTTGGTATATGTGCTAAGGAGGAGGAAATCGGAGAGCCCAGAACCAAAATGTGATTCTTTTGGACTCAAAGAATAAAAATATGTGGAAAAAAATATAGTAACCAATATCAATATATATATAGCGTTTTTTTGAAAGACGCTATACTTTAACGGCTGTTTGGCCAGTTAAGTATAACGTCTTTTTAAAAGATGCTATATATATAACACTCTTTACTAAAACGCTATTCATATTAAGTGGGCCTACAAATAATTCTTCTGTGCTTAACTGACATAATAATAACTCAATTGGGTATAGTGTTTTAAGCTAAGACGTTATACCTCAAATAATTGAACCTCGGGACTGGTTTTTGCCTTATTTAAAGAGGTGGAGGATTTTGTAAAAATCCATTCATAAACATTTTCAAGTTTTCTGAAATTTTTCTTTGTTAAGTTGTTTTGCATTTTGTCATAATGTCTGAAGAGCGAAGAATTAGGGTTTCATTATATTGGGGAGGAGGGGGATGAGGTTGTAGTAAGCTATAGTTTATCTCCACAGTCTTATGTTAAGTCGTCACTTACAATAGAGTACGATAAATTGGTATCGTAGATATATAAAAAAATGAGTGTGAGCAAACATTCGGTGAATCTTAAAATAACCGGAAGATATTCATATTCTATGACTTTGCAAAGGTTGCTTGTTATGCTGAGTTCAACATCGAAGACGATGAAACTCTGAGAGATTTTTTGGGGACTCCGGATGAATACCGAAAATTTATTGTGATAAAACTGTTGGAAATGTACGTCAAGGCTGAAGACGTTCGCAATAATGAGGTTGTGCAAAGTAAGAAAATCCCTCAATCATCGAGTGATTTTTTTGGAGCAGTTTTAGCCGAATAGGTTCTGGCTGAAAGAGTTTGGCCAGATCTAAATCTATCTCCACGAACGAATGAGGAGCGGGGAATTTATTTTTCCCCTAGTATACATAATACACAAGTTGGGTGGTAAACTTTAATTTTTCCTTGTGTTACGATGTATATTTTTGTGTGTTGTATTTGTATTAACACTCATATATTCTGCATGGGTTATCGCCAGATATGAATTTTACAAGTTATGAACCAACGGCCAGTTGAAATATGCCTAGTTTTGGTGTGTTGGATCATGGTGGTCCATCCGGGAGTCAGCATTAACAAGATAATCTGCATCATGGGATATCAACACATTATGATTTATAAATGAATATATAAAGTTATATGTATTGTTTGGACCAATTTCAATAACTCATTATTTCTTTAGATGTACAGTAAAAACGAGCAACTTGATGGTCCTGTCCTCACTCAATTGCCCAAAGACGACATATTTACTCGGGATCCGTCAGATGCGTAGAGTCAGGAAGAGAATAGTGATTATGATAACAATGTTGATGAGTCTGGAGATGACACACCCTTCCTTGACGAGGGTGATGACGAGGAGGAAGAGAATGCCAAACCTGAATTGACGAGGGAGCATGCTCCACCTCCCGTTATACCAAGAGTGTACGAGTCCCACGTGCCGTTTCATTCAAGGCATATTCCCTACCTTGATCATTTGCCAAGTACGCCGGATGTGGATGCCCTCACAAGGAATATTGACAAAATTCGGACAGTAATGTGGGATAAATCTAGACCAACGATGTTGTCAAAGGGCATGCTTTTTCCTGATAAGATGTGCCTAATCAGGGCGGTAAAAATGTACAACGTAAAAGAGTGCCGTGAGATGATGGTATGAGAGTCATCTCCGAATGTATACAAGGTTGTTTGTCGTAAATGGTTTACGGGTAGGGGTGGGCATATTTCGGCCGGAACCGAATAAATCGACTGAACCGAATTTTTTTTATTTCGGTTTCTGTTATTCTGTTTGTTTGGTCGGTTTCGGTTTAAAATTTTAAAATTTCGATTTTTCGGTTCGTTTTTCGGTTATTAATTTTTTTAGTTCGGTTAACCGAAAAACCGAATTATTAGCATATATGTTCTTTAAGTCATATATAGGCTAAGCTCATATGTAATAAATTAATACTATTAGGTCCAGTCTATCAAAGACTCAACCCAATTAATTAAGTCCATCAATTTTTCAATCTTAAAGACTTTCAGTCTATTAGAACTTCCATAGCATATATGATAGATACCGGGAGGATTTCACACAGAGTTGTAATTTACACTATTTTTAAATTTTATAATCCATAATAGTGTGCAAAGTTTAGTCTATTTTTTTCTTCTATAAACACTATATTCCAACAATTTCGAAGTTTTGAGAAAAATCAACAAATTCATCGGTCATATTATTACATAGAAGGAGTTCAATATGATAATGCTCAAACCGAAAATCGAACCGAAATAACTGAACCGAAATTAGAAAAATCGAACGGAACCGAACTTATTTCAGTTCGGTTTCGGTTACTACTTTTACAAAACCGAAAACCGAATAACTGAACTGAATTTCTTCAAATCGAACCGAACCGACCGAACGCCCACCCCTATTTACGGGTTGTAATTGGATGCTGCATGCGAGGACGAAGATTTATATGGGTTGTGGGTAAATACTTTGGCACTCACAATTGTGAAATGAACACATTGAGTGGGAATCACTTTAACTTGGATGTTGACTTGATTTCTCTTGTTTTGATTCTACAAATTTAAGCCTCCATAAGGTACAAGATCAGAGAGTGTATTACATCTGTCCACCAGGAATATGGGTATACCATTACCAAAAGAAAGATATTTTTCAAGCGCAAACATATGTTTGAAATTGTTTATGGTGACTAGGATAAATCATTTGCATCTCTACCCAGGTACATGGCCGTATTGCAACAATTTAACCCCGGGACTGTTGTTGAATGGAAGTTTGAGCGAGTGCGGGAATACCAAAATATATATTTAGATACGTGTTCTGGGCATTCAAACCAACAATTGATGGTTTTGTGCATTGTCGGCCGGTAATATCTATAGACGACATTCATGTCTATGGTAATTATAATATTAAGTTGTTGATCGTCGTTGCAGTAGATGGTACTGGACAAATATTTCCCTTAGATTTTGTTATTTGTGCCAATTAAAGCCAAGAGACGTGGACACTATTTTTGAACCACTTGAAGGAGCACGTTGTCAAACAACGTTCAGGTATTTATCTAATATCTGATCGGTATGGTGGTGTTTTAAATTATATACAGCATTTGCCTGAATGGCGGGAACCTTATGCATACCATCGTTACTGTGTGAGGCACATGAAGGCCAATTTACAGAAGACACATCTCAACAAGGACTTACATGATTTAATGTGGATGGTTGTAACTGATCACCAGGAGTGCAAATTCAGGAGGTGCATGGAATCAATCAGGCAGGAAGATGAAAGAGCCTATGATTGGTTGATGCAACATGAGCTTGACAAGTGGACATTGCATGCGGACGGTGGCAGACGATGGGGAACCCTAACTACAAATGTGTAAGAATCTTTCAACAGATTATTGAAGTCTGCACGTGGATTGCCTATCACTGCCATAGTGCGGATGTCATTCAAACATATGACGGAGAGGTTTGTTGAAAGGCATAAAGGTGCATCGTAATTGATGGAGAGGGGTGTTGAATTTATGCCAATACCAATGAAAAGATTTGAGAAATACAGGAGGCGAGCTCAATGACATTCATTTTTACAGTATTGTAACGAGCAAAATATTTTTGAAGTTCTCACCGCTATCTATCAAAATCGGGAAAATAATACACACACCGTAAATGAAGGCAGCAGGTTGTGTTCTAGTGGGAAATGGTCCATCTACCACATGTCGTGCTCGCATGCCATGAAGTGCTTTCAACATACAGGTTTAGCGGCAACCCGATACGTTGTTAAGGAATATAGTGTTGCTGCATATTTAAATACATATAGTGGGTAGTTGCAGCTAGTGGGTGCTGAGCATTATTAACCACCGGAACCATTTAAAATTGTGTGTAACAAGGAGTATTTGCGTAAGCTATACGTGCAAAAAAGAACGCGTATACGAAATCAAATGGATGTTGATGATACAATTTATGCACGCAAATATGGCATATGCTCCTAAACAGGACACGACCGTCGTAAATGTCCTTCAGCTGGTTTGGGTGGCGGTGGTAATCCAGCTTCTGGTGGAAGTTCATCTAATGTGCCCAACTATCAAGGATGCACGTAGTGTTTTATTTCTGTAATGTGGTTGTAATAAGTATATGTATTTGTTTATCTTGCAGAATATATAAAATAAAATTATGTTTCCATTACTGTTATATCTTTTTGATATTTAACATTAATACTTTAGTACAACAATCTAACATAAACCCTTTTTAAAAATAAAAAAAACCTTCAAAATAATCTTTTTGATATTTAACATTAATACTTTAGTACAACAATCTAACATAAACCCTTTTTAAAAATAAAAAAAACCTTCAAAATAATCTTTTTGATATTTAACATTAATACACGTAGTGGCATTTTTTTAATGGGTGTTGTAATATTTATTCAAAAGGTCTTTGAAATACATATGACTTGATTCAGTTTAAGAAGCTTTCTTAGACTCGAAATAATTATTATGACGCGAAGCATAGCGCGGTTACATACCACGTTACGTGTATTGCCTTGTCGACCTGATAAAGCTATCGTTCTGAAAAATTTATCTTCTGGAAAAAGTTGTATTGTACTGTAAAGAATTGTTAGCACGCGAAGTATAGCGTGGTTACATACCACATTATATGTATTGTCTCGTCGACTTGATAAAGTTGCCGTTTTGAAAAAAAGTTGTCTTCTGGAAAAGCTGTATTGTACCGTAAAGAATCGTTAGCATGTGAAACATAGCGTGGTTACATACCACGTTATGTGTATTGTCTTGTCGACTTGATAAAGCTATCGTTCTAAAAAAGTTGTCTTCTCGAAAAGCTGTATTATACCGTAAAGAATTGTTAGCACGCGAAGCATAGTGCGGTTACATACCATGTTATGTGTTTTTTTCTTGCCTATAAATGACTAGAGCATTTTAATTATTTTCTGCACTTAACCAAAACAAATAGCAAAACTTTCCATAATTTTTTCATTTTTCTTGCATTAACAAATGTCTGGACGCAATGACGCACCACAGTGCTATTATGGAAAACGTGCGATTATGAAGGTATGTTGGTCCGATGGTAATGTTGGTACAAATACTGGATGTGTCTATACAGGTTTGGAGACAATGACAGAAATCATTGTATGTTTGAGGAATGGTATGATAAACTCATTAACCAGGAATACTACAAATCAATTTTGCAGTATGTTTGGAATATGAACGCTGAATACCAATGTTAGATCTCTGAGATGCGATAACAAATTGCGACACTGCAGGAGAAACTAAAAGAGGAGGAAGAATAAAAAAATAAAATGGAAGAGAAATTTAAGTAGTTGGAGCAGAAAATAATGGGCGGTAGTGACTAAACAAACACATGTATGTGTTGAGTGTTGTATTTTCATTAGTTATATCGATTTTAAATTATGTTAAGTTGTTATGTTTGTTTTGCCCATTTTTACTATTAAAATAACAATGACATATTGAAATAAAAACGTAATGCACATATAATGCTAAACCATAGATAAAGTTGTTATTATTTACTGATTGTCATATGTACATAAAATCAAAAAATCAATGTGTCCCACAACCTTTATGCTTTAAACCAGCCACTGGCCTCAGGCGCATCCCATGCCGCCTAACTACACTATCAGGATCATCCTTATCATGACGCCTCTTTATCGGAGGATGAGCTACAACATGATCGTCAGTAAGGCTAGCATGTCGGTAGAAGGGGTCGTCGGTGCAGTAGTGACCTACAGAATAATGACATATTTTAGTATATAAAATATATAATAGTAATGTGGGGGTTGACTGCTAAAAATAATTAAAATATCTTACCATGGTCACAGTGGGCTCCTAAATATACTCATCCGTCTCAGGCATGTGAGTGACGCACCTAGTGGCCTCCGCGATGGGCGAGGATGATGGCTTCAAAAAAAATATGCTTTAGATATTTATGACTAATCAATGATATAAACATAAAATATAAGTAATAGTAATACAAACTAACCAAATCCTGTGGAAGATCCTCAGCATCCCTCAATGGTGAGCCATAACTAAGTCGGCGTCCAATATCTACATTTCGTACTGGACAAATAATGTGAGGTAAAGGCCGTGCCCGCAATTGACAATGGAGCTGATGGGGTCACCTGCGAAGTCCCTAGAGTAAGCCCCGGACTAAATGACGGGATATCACTAGGATCAGGATGGTCACACGGCTGATCAACTCCAACATCCTCAACAGGTGCCTCAACGCCTCCTTGCTGGGGAACACCTCCTCGCGGACCCCATGACCTCGTGGGACACCCTACCTCGCGGGACACCCCTACCTCATGGCACACCCCCGCCTCGCGGCGCACCTTTACCACGTCGATCACATTCAGGCTGCATTGCTGGCCCACGATGGTACTGCTCTGGCGCCATATAATCAGCCTCGTGTCCTAAGCGCTCATTATCACGGGCTCGCTGCAATGTCTAGGCAGCCAAATCTGTAACCTACTGGCCATAGTCGTGCAAAGCGGTCGCTCCCTCGCCGGTATGTTGCTGCATCTGCAGTCCCAACTTGTGGAATATATGTAGTCCAATAACTTACACAACATATAAAATATTAATTGTGAAACAGTAATGTTAACATTATAACTAAGTATACCAAATAACATACCAGCGCCTCATGCCTTTCGGCGTATGGAATGAACCGACTGCCAACGTGATGAATGGGATTCCCGATGATAAACCGGGTAATGTTGCGGTACCAGCCCATATACGCATGCTCACCATCCATAAGATCGGGTGGAGGGGGTGACAGAATCAGGTCACGCCGCTGGTACCAAGTCTCGATCTGCTCCTTTAGTTATGCCTCTTATGCCTAGTCAGCTCTCAAACGATCATCCCGCTGGTAATGTGTCCTAACCCAAGCGGGCGGTGGAGGTACAAGCTGCGGTCGACCAAACTGGCGAAGGACTTGCTCGGTGGCATGATGCTCAACAATATCGGAAGCGATCCAGATAAGTCGCCCGGTCGAGCAATAATTGGGTAAACCCGTAATTAGCTCGTCACTGTATGGACTCTAAATGAACTATTACGTAAAAATAGGAACCATGAGTACACGCAACACATATAAATCCAGGCCAAGTAAACTTAAGTATAGAATTATTTGCGCATCTTCCAGCAAATCCAACAAATCTCTACAATAGGGGAGATTATGTCGAGCCTCGTACTCACGTCCGTATCCCTGCCTATCAACCCACCACCTAGCCAAAGGGAGAAACGACGGAGGTAGTGCATCCTGGGCAATTGGTGGTAGACGTGGTTGAAACTGCAAGAACCGCTTCTAGGCCCAAACCTAATAAACAATTTAGACGTAAAATTTAAGGTATATTTTTAAGATGTATGTTATAATAAAGAGAGTATTTGACTATGTTTTCACCTGCAGTAGCGGCATAAATCTTGCAACGTCTCACTGGATGCCCATGCATGCCTGGCACATCTGCCGGTACAAGTAACCAAGAACAGCAGCCCCCAGTTGTACTGATGTAAATCAACTAGCCGCTCAAGATGATGAAGAAATCTCAAGCTGACTAAGTTTCCTGAAGTGCTCGGGAACAATACGCCTTCAAACATAAGCAACAATAACGACCTCGTGTATCGGTTAATATGAACATCCGGTGTATCATGAGTAATGTCATCATGCATGACCTCCAAATGCAAGACGACTAGCCTCAATCAACATGGCCTCCAAATGCAAGACGACTAGCCCCAACCAATACACCCTCATCCTTTGGTCGGAAATCGGTGAGCCGCTGCAATGTCTCCAGGTACTGATCTCCCGTATAATCTCTCATGCCTTGCACCAAAGCAACAAGAAGTCCATCAACCGGCAATCCATACAGAACCTCCACATTCTGCAGCGTGATAGTGGCCTCGCCAATGGGCAAATGGAATGTGTGCATCTTTGGTCGCTACCGCTCTGTCAAAGTCGTGATCAACGACCAATCTAGTTGCAGCCAGCCGATCTCAATAATCCTATAAAACCCATATCCTGCAGGCGTCTGACTATACGAGGATGGAGCTGGCGATCCTTAAGAAAGTCCCACATATCGTCTATTCTCCTAGAACGTATAGTCTGGGCCAATAACTTCCCCTCCCATATGTAAGAGGACCTATGCTCGGCCTATAGCAATAATAGCTTTAGGGAGGCAGGTCGCAGATGCAAAGGTGGAACCTCCATGACAACTACTGTAAATGAACTAAATTAATTACATTATTTTTCTTTTCCACTGCTTAAATATATTGCAATACCTTGAATATTAAATTTTATTCGATATTTTTACTATATTGTTTATTAGGTTGATACATTTTTAATAGTATAATTTTATATTTAATATGTTAGTTTTATTATTTTATATTTTTGTTAGTTATTCACCTATTTTTTACTATACCTGATTTAATTATTAAATATTTATATTTTGGTTTCGGACACAATATTTGAGGACCAGTAGCACCAATGTATCCTGAATTCTTATGTTCAAGATGAGAAATTTTTTGTGATTTTTCACTCAACAGGTCTGTTATTTTATATGTTAGTTTATTATTTTATATGTTAGTTTTATTTATTTAATATGTTAGTTTTATTATTTTATATGTTTATTGTTTCCTTACTAAATTATTTTTTACTATATTAAAATTAAATAATTAATTTTCATAACTATACATGATTTAATTATTAAATATTCATATTTTGGTTTCGGACACAATATTTGAGACACAGTAGGACCAATGTATCCTGAATTCTTATGTTCTTACATTTGTTGACTATAATTGGAGATAGTTTGTGTTTGAACTATTAGCTTTTTGACGTATTTTTGGGAATAAGAGATACTTAAATGATTAATTTCTATAAATACAAGGATACTACGCTAAAGGACACTACATTTTACTACACTAAAAGGTCACTACATTACAAATACGAGCACTGCATTAGGCCACAATATACCACTACAGGGAACTAAAGTAATAATGTATCTAGTTTACTAGTCTTTTAGCAAATAAATAATCTAAACTGGATAAAAACAAAATAATTTAATCACAAAATTACATAGACCACAGTAAAAAGTAACTAATTAACATTTTTTTAACAACTAATAACAATTTCTCTATTTTACGAATTATATATATATATATATATNTTAATTCAACTATAGCATTTTTTTGAAAGACGCTATAATTAACTGGCCAAACGGCCATTTTAAGTATAGCGTATTTCAAAAAAATGCTATATATATTTTGGTAACTATATTTTTCTCACATATTTTTGTTCTTTGAGTCCAAAAGAATCACATTTTGGTTACTAATTCGGAAATCAGAAAAAGAAATAAGGAAATTGATGAATTATACTTATGTAATTTTGTGATAAATTATGAACTTTTGTATTCCCATTGAAAAAAGATACAGTGTTTACATTTGAACTATCTTGTTTGCTGAAGGGATACTCGTAATTCAATCAAGTGAAAGAGGAATAATTTTTCTATCACAAAAAAAGAAAAAAAGAAAAACAAGATATCCAACAAAAAGGAATGAATGAAAAAGAATGAGAATTTTACATAATTTGTGACAGGTTGTGCAGGAGACTTGGTCATGCTCTAATGGAAGTTATTAAGAGGGAAGATACTGAAACTAAAAGCCATGTAAATAGGAATAATGCACAGTTGTGTTCAATTTATTCATTAGCTATGCAAGCAAGAAGGCCCTTCCTGTTAGGACTTCTAGTTCATCAGCTTGTTTTGAAATAATAAGTTTGTGGCGCGTGCTTGCCGGGCGTTAAAGATTTTGCCTAACTTTCCCCTCCTTCAAAAGCCATCACGAGAAGCCTGCTCAAGCTTCCTTCTCGCGATAAGCTCTCGATTGACCAAACTCTACTAGCCCAACTCTTGTTGATTGAAGCCTCTCGCACATTGAGCTCATTGCGTGAGGTGTGGTATATTCCTGGCAACAGCGGGGCGGGCTGGAGGACAGGTTTGATAATCCACAAAAATTTCAACCCACCCTGTTCTGCACCATAACATTTTTAAGTAGTTTCAACCCCCTACCTTCTCCCGCATCAACCCCACCCCCCCCATATCATTTTTCCCCCCTTTTTGCTTTATTATTTATATATTTGTAATTTTAAATTTAAATGAAAAACATGACTTTATTTTTTTGGTTGGTATGTATCAAACATTAGATGGCAAATTTGACAATACTGCTCATTTGTTTTCCAAGCTATCTAAACTCCATTATGTAATGTTCTGGGAGTTGGTCGAATTCTTTGTAGATTGGGAAAGTAGCATATTAGGGATGTAAATAGAAGACCACGTGACTATAGAAGAAAGGCACGTGTAGTGCAAATCAACGGCCAAAATCAAGTCTAGCTTAGTACAAATTAAATGCTCAGATTCACTCTAGCTAATTAGTTAGTGGGCTCAGTCGTTCAGTTGGTGGGCTCAGTCGTTATAATAGAATTGGGCTGGGAAAGAGAATTCAGTTTTCGATCGGTAGTTTCTCTCTCTTCCTTTGTTATTCTCTCATTCTCTCCTTTCACTCTCCTTCTTCTTCATTTCTACTCGTTTGACCTAATTCAATTCCATCTCCATTACATGTGATGATCGAGCTGAGTGGAGTTCTTACCAATTGTTTCCTTTTCTAATCATGTAACAGTTGGTTAATTAGTGAATTGTAATTCCCTTTGAGTGATCAATAAAACTTCCATTTTTGTATCAAATGGCTTCTCCTAGAACAGGGGAAAGAATTCCAAGCCATAGCTCCAATTCTCTATTGGAGTTTTCATATTTTGAAGGCATTGAGGGAGGAGGGAGATCCATGCTCATGGTTGAGACTACAACCACATAGTTGATCAAGGCCAGAAGATGGAAGAAGTTGCTCTTCATCTTCAAGGTAGGGCTGAGGCATGGTACTTCTCCTATCAATTAAGTAAAGAGCATGTTAGTTGGCAAGAATTTTGTGAGGAACTGTGCAGGAGATTTCAAGATGCTGAAAATAGTAAGTTCAACGTTACTGGTGAATTTAAAAATATTAAGCAGAAAGGTACAGTCAATGAGTACCTAGAGAAGTTTGAAGAGTTGAAGGCCTGGGTTGAGATTAGAAGTCCTACCATACCGGAGGATTTTTTCTTGGAATTCTTTGTGGAAAGAGTGAAAGAAGAAATAACGCATACTATCAAAATGCTCAATCCTTACAAATTGAGCCAAGCACTTGGAAAGGCCATGCAAGAGAAGGTGATAGAGACTTGGAACAGAAAAAAGGAAAACAATGTGGGAAGGGGTTTCATCCTAGCAATGCCACACAGACCAACCTACAAGGTTCTACCCAGCTTTTAGGAGTGCATGGAGTGCTAGTCAAGGTAATAAGTTGTTTGAGTCAAGAAGAGTTCAAGGTCTTTGCTATAAGTGTGGCGAGAGTTACTATCCAGGACACCAATGCAAAAATAAACAATTGAATGCTATGACTGCTCCACAGAACAGACTGATGAGGATCCTAACACCAACACAGAAGAAGTGTGGGAAAGGGATATGGAGATACCAGAAGAATAGATTATGGATGAAGCCATAAGTCTAAATGCCTTATCAGGGACTGAGGTGCCTAACATTATCAAGCTCAGAGAGAAATCTAAGAGGAATACCATGACCATTTTTATAGACTCAAGGAGCATGCACAACTTCTTATATTTAGAAACTGCCGGGAAAATGGGATGTCTAATCAAAAAAGTAGCACCAATGAGGGTTACTGTGGCAAATGGGAACCATCTCATCAGTCTGCACACTTGTCCTTATTTCAACTGGAGCATACAAGGGATGGTTTTTGAAATTCAGTGAGACTCTTCAGGTTAGGGGGTAATGACATGGTTTTAGGGGGAGATTGGATGAAGGGATACAATCCTGTCCTCTTGGACTTTGTGGAATATAAAGTTTAGGTGACACATAAAGGTAAGAGAGTAGAACTTAGGGGTATTTACAATCAAGCTGAGCTGAAGAGCATGACCACTTCTGGAGTCAAACACCTCCTCAAAAAGTGTCAAGCTATCTAGGCTCACCTCTTTACAATTCCAACCACAGAATTACAGACAACGGAAAGGATACTTGTCTCCAGCAAGGTCTTGGAGCAATTTTCAGATATATTCTCTTATCCAAAGACACTTATACCAAGGAGAAATCATGCCTACTTTATTCCCATGAAACTTTAAGCCACACCAGTTAGCATAAGACCATACAGGTACATTTATTTTCAAATGAATAAAATTGGGAAACAAGTGAATGAGATGCTTAGCGTAACAATCCGACTGGTTATTTTGAGCTTTAGCGCATTGTTTGGCGGTTTGAGGCATTGAGTAGTTTCACTTCATGTATTATGAATTTTACGTGTGGTCGGAATTGAATTTCAGGAAGTTCGGAGTTGATTCAGAAGGAAATTCTCAGTTTAGAAGTTTTAAGTTAGAAGAGTTGACTAGGGTTTTACTTTTAAATAAATGATCACGAAATCAGGATTTGAAGGTTCCAATATATTTGTATGATAGTTTTAGACTTGGGCATATGTTCGGGTTGAATATCGAGTCGCCCGAGAGCATTTCAGCGCTTATTGTGGAAGGTTGGCATTTTGAAAGTTTTAGAAATTCCTAAGTTTGGCTTGAAGTGGAATTTGGTATTATCGATGTTTGTTTGGCATTTTGAGCCTTGGAATAGGTTTGCATTGTAATTTATGACCTGAACGTAAAGTTTGGCATTGTTTCGGGATGTTTAAGTATAATTCACACGTGTTCAGCAAAGTTTGAAAGTTGGAAAGTTGAAAGAAAGGTTTTGGCCGTCGATTCGTAAAATTTGATGTTGTTTGATGTGATATTAGGCCTCGAGTAGGTTTGCTATGTGTTTTGGAACTTGTTAGTATGTTCGTACGAGGTCCCGAGGGCTCCGGGTTTGAATCCGATTGAAATTAGGATCATTTTTGGGCTTGTTGGTTGATGAAGACTGCTGAAGTCTGGTGTCATCGCACCTGCGGTGGGGTTGGTTGCAGGTGCGTACACGCAGGTGCAAGGGGGGTCATCGCAGAAGCGAAGAGGACCATCCATGGGAAGGGTTGCATGTGCGGAGTTTGGCACACAGATGCACATCCGCATAAGCGGAGAAAGCACTGCATATGCGGTCAGTGCTCCGCAGAAGCATGACTATAGGAGCAGATTTGGTACGCAAAAGCGGATTTGCCTAGGCTTAAGTAGAAGCCGCACCTGCGATGGAATTTCTGCCGGTGCGACTGTTTGGTCTTAGGTGCAATGATCAC